ATATATATATATATATGCAGTTATAAAATTTTGCAGTTTTATAGCTGCAAGATTTCAGACCTACCCTCCTTCACGAATCAGTTCAGTCAGAATAAGCAAAAGGAAATTTTACTAGCCCCTGTAACCAAACTTAAAAACAGACAAAGGATTAGTCACCTGAGGTATCCCTGAAGAAGCAAAGAGACGATCACAGCTTCAGCCTGCAGTCGAGACAGAGCCGTGGTCTGGATCATCTTCCTGAGCTTGGCTGGGCCCCTCCCCATCCATGTCTCCACCAGCTTCAGTGGGGTCACTTTTTCATTCATGGACTCTGCTTGCTCTACAATTAGCACCACTTGCCTTGCATGCTGGGTAATGTCCATACTAGTGTAGCCTGAAGGGGTATAGAGCTGATGCTTATGCTCTACACAAACTCATATTGAAAATCTTTCTAAATTCAAGGTGTTTAAGTATGCTATACATACAAACCTTTTTTATGGCGGCATGTATCACACATTTGGTTACATCTTTCATTGTCCCACATCTCATCAAAGTGGACAGCCATGAGAGAGCGACGACACCTTCACACAGCCAAAAATCAGATAACCTCTAACTATAGGGTGAACCAGAGATTAATCATGTAGCTTGTTACCTGTCAACATTCTGGCAGTAGGCAACCATTTGCAGCAGCTTCTGGTAGCCGGCATTCTCCATAACTACCATGGTGCTGATCCTGAAGATATCAGCAAAGCCAAAATATATGATGCAGTCTGCTGGAAGATCATCTCGACCTGAGGACTCAGAATAACATTATGTATTTCAAAGAACGAATGAGCACTGAAACTATTAGAACTTAAATGTATGAGGATTAGGGTGCACCAATTGGATCTTTCTAGCTGATCACTGATCTTTTAATCAAGATTTTTCCCTGACACCAATTTTCTTTTCTAAAAAGTCGCTGCAACAGTGTATTGACTATTGTCAGCTGTATACATGCAGTATACATCTGTATACTGAGAGACTGACCAGTCAGTCTCTCACGGTAGAGCAAAAGAGGACAGTGGCTGATTTTCAGATCTTTGCATATACTGGCAAACCTGCAACTCTTGAGCAGCAACTCTGACACATCCTGTGCAGCTCTTTTATACTGAAATTTCTCACACTCCCTGAAGAGAGTATGGGAAACCATAAAATCTGCTTCCATGGCAACAGCTTTCCTCAACAGATCTCTGTATTTCTATTGGCTGCATTATTACAAGTCGGTGCACTTCACGCCACATCCAAGCTCAGAAGACCATGGTACATTCCCACCAGCAAAAAAGATACAAGCGAACATTATGTCAGAGTTTGCGCAGCAGGTTCTGGTGCCACTAAGAATCTGCCACTAAGAAAAGCAAACTGGTTCTGGTCACAATAACGCAATCAATACTGTGTGCACTGCGATGATGCGGAGAGTAGCAGGATAATGTACTTGAGATATGGAGCAATTTTTCTACCGCACAAAAAATAGAACAAAAGTGAGAAAAATCAGAAAAAAACAAAGACTCCTTTGAGAGTTTAAATTAATAATGATATTTATTAATGTGTCACACCTGCTGTGTTTATCCTTTGAATGAGTTTTAACTTAGTCACATTCAAAATATTCAAATGTATTATATTAAATGCCTTCTTAAGACTACCAAGCAGGGGTGTATCCAAGAAGTTTTTAAAGAGTGCTAAATGGGTCCAGTGATGATCTTGGGATGTTACACCAAAATAAAGTTTTAAGTACAGTGTAAAATATGCAAACATTAGAGGTCACCACAATACCCTCAAATAGATACACATCTGAGCCATGCGAGTAAACTGCCCTACATGTTTCGCCCTGTGTGAGACACTTCCACATCCGGCAGTTTGGCAGACAAAGACAAATATTTTCTGTACATCTATGAATAAGTTTTTACTCTACTTAAACAAGTTAAGTCTAATCATTGTCCTGTTCTTGATAACATACATGAAAGTAGCTTTAACAGAATACAAACCAAACCTGAAGACACTGGTAAAAAATAAAAACTTCCTTGAGTTCCACTAAAGCTGTAGGGACTAAGAAAAAAACTGTTTGTGTCGGTTATTTTGTTCAAAATGAAGGAAATGGAGGCTGATTCATCAGTGCACCCCTTAATGATGATGTATACCTGCACGCCCACTCTCTTGGTAGTAGTTCTCAACGGACTTGCTCATGGTGTGGTGGATTACAAACCTGACATCTGGTTTGTCAATGCCCATGCCAAACGCCACCGTGGCAACGACAACCTGAACGCCAATACAGATATTTCAGTAAAATGCTGTGTTATGACTCCCACAATCATATGGCTCATTGGACCTCTAAAATATTTAAAACAGATCAGCTAATTTATCCCAAAGAAACTGAATCACTCAATCAACAGTAACATTCAAAACACATATCAAAATTATAAAACATGCATGTATTAGTATGGACATGTAATTAGTAAAACTACAGTGTTTTTGTAAGATCAATCAAGTTTATCACCTGGATTTTGTTTGAGGACCATCTGCAGTGAACTTGCGACTTGTCTTCTGGGTCCATATTGGCGTGATAAGGATATGCCAAGATGTCACGTTTTTTGAGCTCAGAAGACACCATCTCAGCATCCTTCTGAGAGAACACATACACAATGCCTGTGGCACATACATCATTGTCACAAAGTGGCTGCTCTCTATGTTAATATCTGAACTGAAAACAAAACCACAGAAGAAATGACTTTAGCTTCAAACCACATTGGTGTGTATTACCTGACTGGTTCTTGTATTTGTCTTTAATTAGAGAGGTAATGTCGCTCATTAAAGCATCACTATCTGAGTCTTTATTGCGAACCTAGGAAAAAACAAAGCAAGCAAAGTGAATGCACACTGGGATGTACTCAATTGAATGTATTCTTAATTTATTTATTCAATAACTGACAAGTTTCATTTGGTCTTTGTGATCAAAAGAAGAGGAAGAGAATTCCAAGGAGTCAAAATGAATTTAGGCTTTTTTGACTGATCCTGCACACAAAGGACGTTTATAAATCTCATCCTGTTAAGAAAAAATAGACAAATCTTCAGCTATTTGTCTAATATATTGTTTCATAAAATTTGACTGTGTATTTATATACTTTTTAAAAGGATCAACTTCTATTGGCTGAAATAAAGCAATAGGAAGTGTGGAATTAAAACAGACCACTCCTGATGTATTTTAGGGGTAAATAAATTGTGGGGATTTACTCTTGTAAAGTAAATTAGATTGCTTCTTAAGTACTAAATGAGTGCTTTCATGTATTCCATGCTTTTTTTTTTCTTTAAGTTGAGCAGTGCATATGCTAAAGTATTCATACCATTTTAACTTTTTAATTTTTTTTCACCTCATAACATAAGGTGAAACTCTTCCAGTCTGGCACTTGTCTTTACACGTTACTTCAGACTGTCAGGTTCCATTGTGCCCCATACAAAGAAACAACTCTAGATAAAACGTAAACTTGGAGAACTTCAATCATAATGTTCAGTTGAAAAACAATAAGTAAGAGCTTCATTGATCACTGACAGCCTTAATCCCCCCTCCAGTACTTCCGCAATAATAGAAATTCATGCAAAAATCAACAGATGGCCACATTTTTTCACACTAATGCACAGTTGAGTTCATTGCAAACTTTCTCCAAAAATTTTCCAAAACACTTTGTGCTTGAACCTATGATGATCTATTGTATACAATCCAAAAAATGTATAGTGAAGTTTGTGGTTGTAATGTAATATGTGTACACACGTTTATCATGCACTTATTTATAACGCATATTGTTGAAAAATGTTAGCTGATACAGTCGTCATGGTTACCTCATAAAAGAGATTAGTTCGATTGAAAGACGCAGTGATAGTGACTGGCTGTTCCACACACAGTATCTTCTCACAGTCCTTGAGAACACTACTGGTTGCTGTGGCTGTGAGGCCAAAGAGAGGCACAGACTGAAACTGTCTCTTTAAGATACCCAGGAGTTTATAATCTGTAAAGTAAACAAATAGATATGAGTTATTCAAATTCAAATTCAAAAATACTTTACTGATCCCAAAGGGAAATTAAATGTTGTTGTAATTCATTATAACAAACATTAATTAATTCAGATTCTTCAAAGAGTTATTGTAGATAGTGATGGCTGCTGGCAGGAAAGATCTCTTGTAGCGTGTTACAGCAAGTCTGAAGAAGCCTCTGACTGAAGACACTTTGTTTTCTGAAGACAGTCTAAAGAAGAGGATGGTCAGGGTGGCTGATGATTTTCTTGGTTTTATGAAGAATCCTTTTTTGCATCATCATCATCATCATCATCATCTCCAGAGGTTCCACAGTCATCCCCAGAACAGAACTAGCCTTCTTTCTCAGGTTGTTAAACCTTTTTAAATCTCTGGCTCTAATGCTGCTGGCCCGACAGATGACAGCAGAAGAGATAATGTTCTCAACAACAGACTTATAGAAGATCTGCAGCATCTTGCTGCAAACCTTGAAGGATCTTAGCTTCTTCAAGAAGTACAGTCTGCTCTGTCTCTGCTCATAGAGGGATTCAATGTTTCGTCACCAGTCCAAGTCAGTTGACAAGGCAAACACTGAGGTATTTATATTGCCCAACCACCTCCACTTCTTTTCTCATGATGGAAACAGGGCCCTGTTCCTCCTAAAATCTACAATTATCTCCTTTGTTTTTTTTGTTTACAGTCAAGATGAGATGATTGTTGACACAAAGTGGTCCACCAGATCTCTGTACTTCCCTATCACTGATATACCCTACAACTGCAAAGTCTTCAGAGCATTTCTGTAGATGACAGAAGTTGGACTTGTGCTGGAAGTCTGAAATGTACAGAGTGAAAAGGAACGGTGAGAGTACAATGCTCTGTGTTGCTCCTAAGTTGCTGATCACTTGGTTAAACACACATGCTTTCATTATCACAAACTGTGGTCTGTTTGTGAGGTAGTCATAGATCCAGGTGATTGTTGAGGCCTCCACCTGTGTCTTTTGGAGTTTATGACAAAGCAAATAAGGCTGAAATGTGTTAAAAACACAGAAGAAATCAAAGAACATTATCCTCTTAGTGCTGCTTGTTTTGTCCAGATGACAGTGGGTTTGTTGAAACAGATGTATGATGGCATCTTCACTTCAACTGCACAATGATAAGCAAACTGCAGGAGTCTTGATATGAGCTTGCCTGCTTAGTCAGGTGGGCCAACAAGAGTCTCTCCAGGACCTTCATTATGTGGGATGTCAGGGCAACAAGTCTATATTCGTTAATATTCTCTTGGGTCAAGCTAAGACTGAAGAGGTGCTGCAGAATCCCTCAGAGCTGCTCTGCACAGACCTTCAGGACTCTGGAGCTGACACCATCTGGACATGCAGCCTTGTTCCAGTTCAGTCTTTCCACATGCCTCTTCACCTGACTTCTAGATACAGAAAAGTGGGAGGCGGAGGCAAAGGGATAAACAGCATGTCTTGATTTGGTTGAAGACAAACTTGTGGAAGCAGAGAGTCCATGACTGAAGTGGAAGATGAAACATCTGAGGTCTGACAGGAAACCTGTGGGTCAGAGGAGGGTGGGATGTTTGTTTGGCTGGGGACAGGAAAGGATGATGATGAGATTGTTCCTGAACTGAACCTGTAGAAGTCTGTATTAAGTTCATTTGCTCTGTCCAGGCTTCCATCTATCTGATTCTCCTTTTGCCTGAAGCCTGTAATCTTCATCCCTGACCACACATGTCTAATACTGTTCCTCTGCTGTTTATTATCCAGCTTCTTCCTGTACGTCTCCTTGCTGTGTCCAATCTTGATTTTAAGCTGCTTCTGTATACTCTTCAATAACTCCCCGTCTTGTTCTCTAAAGGCTTTTTTTCTTGTTCAACAGTTCCTTTAGTTCACTGGTGATCCAGGGCTTGTTATTCGGGAAGCATCTCACTGTTCTAGTGGAAATGGTGCTGTCCATACAGAAGTTTATGTAGTCAGTCACACACTCAGCCATGGACTGATATATCATCTCCATGTGCAATGAGCACTCCAATCAGTTCCTCCAAAACAACCCTGTAGGACTTCTTCAGCTTCCTTTGACCACTTTCAAACAGTTTTCTTCTTAACATATAGCTTTTACTAACTAAGGCTGCAACTAGCAATTATTTTAGTAATTGATTAATCTATCCAATTAATCTATTCTGATGATTAATCAGATTTTAAAAATGGTTCATTCCACAGATTTTTCATTTAAGCCTTTACTACACAATATTATAAATAAATCAAAATACATAAACAAATAAATACTTAAATTCATTTTTAAATAAGAGAATAAATATTACATTACCTAAAATACAATAACAAAGCATTCCTTTAGTATTTCTGAACCAGGTGAAGCTAAAACTGTCAATTGTGGAATTTTGGCTAAAATTTACAGGTAAGATTGTTTTATCTTAGATGAAAAATGTATATATTTTTGTAGACTTTTGGCTTAATTATTGCTCGAAATATGTTTTTTATAAGCCAATGGCCTTTTTTGGGTCTGTATACTCCAGTTAATAATTAATTGACAGGTAAGTTAGTTTGCGATTATTTCAATATTTGATTAGTCGTTTCAGTCCTAAATGTAATAAGACTTTATATTAATTTATTATGTGAAATAGTTTCACTGAAAACAATATAATAAAATAATAATAATACTTTAATAGTTGGCTAATAAAAACAATTATCACCTGGTCTGAAGTCGTGTCCCCACTGGCTGCAGCAGTGCACCTCATCCACAACTATACGACTCAGCAGCTTGGCATTATAGGCTTTCTCCAGGCGAGACATCAACAGCTTGCTCTTTGCAACCTTCTCTGGAGTTACATACACCATCTTGAAGGGGACTTTCACATCCGTCATTCCAGCCATGACGAGCTTGGAATGCTCCTGCAGTTAAGGGAAAGCCATTTGAAATATGAAGAATCTGCCTGAATTTACTGTTGTTTTATTTTGTATGTGAATTTCCATTTTTGAGGTCAAGAAAGTATGTGTGTCTCATACTGTAGTTAATTCTGTTGTGAAGCCTTCTGTTTAATAAAGATGAGAATTTACATTTTCCCTATAAATTAACAGGTTGCATGCAAATTATTAGTTTGATATTCCTAATCCATCATTAGAGCTGAAGAAGCCTGAGAAGTGAAACCTCAAAAAAAAAAAAAAAAAAAAAAAAAAAAAAAAAAAAAAGTCCAGGGCCCCTTTTAAAATTTAGGAAAAATATAAACCATGACAAAAAAATCG